GAAGCCAGTGGAGAGAAATCCCCCATCACTAACTGCAAACTGGCATTCAGATCTCCCTCCATTTTGTTGGCAACGCCCCAGCTTCCAACAATCCAATCAATTCCCGAAGGATGAAATCAAGTCCCACCCTCTCATTTCAGATGCCATTTCACTCGGATATACGTCACAGCAGAGAAGAAAAGACAATCGCAAATTCCGTTTCATGCCGACTTTAAAAATTACCTTATTGCATTCCAGACACTTTTAAAGTACTTTTATAACTGCTGAAATGTTTGCGGGGCAAATCTCAGGTCAGTCTGAGCTGACCTGACAGCTGTACACCTGCAGGCGCCACTGGTTCTTATTGTGTGTGTGTGTTTGGACTTTATTATATTTCAATGCTTGCATTACAAGGCACATAAATTCACTTTACACTTAAAACATTTTGGTTTGATTACTTATTGTTGGGTAAATGTCCATTGATACCACAGTGCAAAGCTTAAATGTAAACGTAAAGGTCTTAGCTTGAATGTAATATAAGTTGCTTTGGATAAATGTCTCCCAGATGTGCAAATGTAAATTAATATGGCTGTGTGTATAAAAGTATAAAAGGACTGCTTTTTTTTTTTAACTGTAACCCCCAAATACCTCTGTGTCTGTTGTCTTGCATGAGATGCTTTTCAACCCCTCGACCACCAGATGGCACCAGTTTTGATACACTTTGAAGCTCAGATTCAAACAGATTTTGTTATTCATTGCAAAATAGGTATGGATGTTTCTGAGATTATAAAAGATGCAGATCTTGGAGATACACAATGGCAAAAAAAGTACCTTAGTGACCTAAGATTACAGAATTGCAATTAGGTTGCAGTGTATAGAGGAGTCCATTGAAAACAAAGCGGTATTATTATTAATTTATTATAAACAGTTATAGGTAAAAATAAAAATCAGTATCATGGTGGACAGATCAGTGTTGTATTGCTGTACAAAACAATAATAGAAAGTGTTTAGGAAGTTAGATTAGTGAGACATTTGTTTGAATGTTGAGGGTAAGAGGGATAGTTTGAGCAGCTAAAAGGAAATATTGGAAAGATGGTGTAGTCTGAAATCATTCGTCACTTTTCCTGGGTCCAAACGCTCCTTCAGAGCCCAGAAGCAAACAATAAACAGTGCAAATATACACTGTAATTTTAGCAAAAAAATCTTGATCCTAACCTTTATCTCCATACCGAAACTTCAGATGGCCAGACAGTGATTCATCTTTTCTGAATCACTCAAATTTGTGTCTGGGACACTGTCATCCAGAGACTGTGAGATTGAAAGCTTAACTTAATGAACCGACATCACCCTCATTCCCTTGACATTTTAAATTATTGCAGAAAACGAGCTCTTTGACCAACAACAGTTTATGATTCTTACATGTTTTACTCATCGTGATAAACTTCACAAATGAACACAACCTTTATAGATTATGAAGCCTAAGTTCAATCGCCAGAAGTAAAAAGCTAAGCGTAGGCTATAAACATGATCATAAACATAGTGAGGCTGTGAAGTGACTAGGGATCTCCTGGAGAGCTACTGTCCTGCAGACCCTAGACACCTTGATTATCTGGTTCAGGTGTGTTCGATTGGGGTTGGAGCTGAAATGTACAGGATGGCAGCTCTCCAGGAGCAGGGATGGTGACCTCTAGACTAGTGAATAGATGAGTACCTGTCGGCTTCAATTGTCCTCTGTAGGCATTTAACCAAAAAACCCATTCAAAAAACACTGGAACCAGAAGTATTAAAATGCAACCTCGTTTCCAGAATTCGGACAACAAAAATATGTCTCCCCTGCAGCACTCCATAGCACACCTTACAATGTTCATCACCTAATCAGATAAAAATAAAAAAAAAGAGGCAAAGATATTACCCAGTTGCAGCAGTGGGGTGGTTACATTAAAGACAATAAATGAAATAAAATGTGCTCAAACACATTAAAAACATCTCAGTAATTCACACAAAATGACTTCATCAGTTAACGTCTTGTGAAGCAAAAAGCTGCATGTTTGTAAAAGACAAATCCATCAACAAGATATTACTAACTTAAAACCGTTGCTACTGGCCAAAATACGAGTCCTCCAGTGAAACGTGGTGTGGTCTGAATCAGGAGAGCAATCTGCACAGATCAAGCACCGTTTACAAGCCAAAACTGTCCAAAACAGTTTGGGTGGATTTTGATGCGAGAACAAAACGGGATGACATTTTTCACTGGAGGAAGCATTATTATGGATCATGGACTTATTGTGGATGCTCTCAAGGTATTTTGGACAAGCAACATTTTAAAGTTAAAGGTGACATATTTCATATAATTTTACAATGTGTAATATAAGTCTCTGGAGTCCCCAGAATGTGTCTGTGAAGTTTCAGCTATCTGCTAAAAACATCTGTTTTGGTTCTGATTATCACGCTGAAATCATGCGTTTTAAACCATATGAGTTTAAACTTCAGATATAAGGTTTTCTGAGAGCACACATCTGAAGCACACGGATAGAAAGCGGCTGTCACAGCATGCGAGCACTAAACTAAGTTCTCATTCACACACAAGTTTACGTTAAAAACACACGAGTTACAAAAACAGTGGGTTATGTCTGTGAAGGTAAACAGCTGGGAAATAAATCGCTTGTTTATTTTAGATCTGTGTGGCAGCAGCAATATACAGTAGCCTAAATAAATCAATAAATCCACTGCTCTGTTGTCTCCTCTGAGGCTGGGGCTCTAAATAT